TCCTTATCCCTTTTGAAAAATTTTGTTTGAACATAAAGGCTCACTAAGTTGCCCAGGCTGGCCTTGAACTTTTGATCCTCTTGTCTCAGCCTTCTGAGCAGCTAGAATTACAGGTATATATCATCATGCCTAGCTTTAATTTAATTTTATAATTGTATAAATTATCATTTATATGTTCTAACATCAAATCTACAAAACATGGTTTATTCAGAGAAGACATTGTATGATTTAGCTTCATTCATTTTCCTACCCATCAAGCGGTGGTTTTCAGACTTGGGAGCTTTTTAAAAAACACTCAGGCCACACATTCAAGAAATTAAGATTTGGAAGGGGAATAGATCACCAGTAGTTTTGACAAGTTCCCAAGTGATAGTCATAGGCAGCATAGTTAGGAATTACTGACATGTAACTGAATTTTCTGTTGCTTTTGTTTGTCTACTGGGGTTTAAACCCAGGACCTTGTAAATAAAAGGTAAGCATTCTACCACAGAGCTACATTCCTAGCCTGGTTGTTATTTTAATGATATATTTTCCCACTGAAAAAACAAAAAAGATTTAAGTAAGCAAAAAAAAAGGATATGTGCATTTCAGTCCTTCCCTTTCGTTCTGAAATGTGAATGTTCTACTGTACTTCTCTGAACAATCTTGTCTACAAAGCAGCTGTCAGACCATGTGCCTTTAACAAGTTCTGCAGGCTCTTTTGCCCCTCACTGAAGCTGGAGAATGTCAATATGTGACAGAAGTTAAAAAATTAAGCAATTTTTTCCTAAAATTTATTTAAAAAATGTAAATATAACAAATCATTTTACCTGGGGTATCATGAACATACCTGTGACTTGGGACTTGCATCTGATTGCATGATTTAGATTTATTAACTAGCTTGATATGTTATTTGCATTTGACATTATAAATGCTGTGAATTATAAGATGTATAAAATTATATTAAAATGAAATAGCTTAATTTTCTAATCCACTTTGATTATAGAGTTTTTTCTTTTTTTAAATTTTATTTAAGGAGAAAAGAAAAAAAACAGTGAAAGGGTACAAGTTATACAGATTTACAGAAAAAAAAATGAACAGTAGGAAATCACTAGTTAATGAATTACATATTGTCATCTTAGAAATAATTGTTCAAGTCACAAAATTAAAGCTTGTAGAGTGGACATTCCAACAATGATACTGCAAACAGTTCTGTTCAATGATCCAATAAAACTCTGTGATATCATTTTCTATGTTATACACTTAAATATGCATGCAGTTATATAGTTTAGAGCACTTTCTTTTCCTCTCTTTTGTACAATGACTATTACACATTTTGGGTTTCATTGCTCCCACGGTTCTTATTGTTTTTTTGGAAGAGAGTAAAACCAAATGTGACATAACAGAACAGAATCGGTCAAGTCAAAAGGGTGGACATAATAGATAATGTAAAAACATAATACAAGGTGATCAACAGTAGTTACCATAATGCCTCCCGCTATCTCTAATAGAATTGCCTATATCATTAGTTATAATACAATTGAACAAAACAGTAAAGAACAAAACCGACAAAACCAAACCACTGGAGACATTGTAGGTCTTCAAAAGTAGATAAAAGTCAACAAGAATGGGCGTTATAGTGAATCTCATTATCTTCACAGCTGATGCCTAAACTTTCGAACCTGATACTATCCAGCAAAACAGAATAGGGGAACATCAGTCAAAAACAAGATGGTGAGAGTAATACAGGGCTTCAAATCGAGATAATAGAAAGTCAAAGTGGGTTACTATAATATATCCTGCTATTTTTTTCCCTTTAATTAAACGGATAAAAATTAAAAAGTAAATAATGGAGTGGAGATTAGGATAAAAGAGGGCATAACAGCGAAACAGCGCAGATCAAAACATAACCATTTAAGCAGAATAGTGTTTCACCACCAGATAATTCCGACCCAAAAGTAGTTACCATATTGACTCTTTCCTTGAAGTCCTTGAGTACAACTTCGTATACTGTAGCATTAAGTATATCAAAACAATGTAAAACCATTTAAGAGAATGACAGCATTACAGAGTATTTAGAATTGACTAACAGAAAATGAACAATGGTTTCTGTATAATCTCCTTGTCTTTAAAAGGTTTTTGCTTATACTATCGTACATAATAAAATCCAATAAGATACAACCTATTTAGACTATTGGAGACAGAAGAACAAAAGCTAGATGAGACTTCAAAACAAGATGATACTAAATCAGTATTACCTATTAAGATGTCATTTTCTCCAAAATAGCTGTTCCTTTTTTTTTTTTTTTTTTGTCTTTTTCGTTTTTATAGGTACCAGGGATCGAACTCACGACTGCCTGCTTGCAAGGCAGGCGCTTATGCCGCTGAGCTAAATCCCCAGCCCCAAAATAGCTGTTCCTATCATCCAATCTTCTCTGTCTCATTTCTGTTGAGCTCTTTTTCTGTCAGTAGCTGTCAGTTTGTTTTCTTCATTTTGTTCTCTGCTCCATTTGTTGTGGCCTCCCCGCCACTATTTCTGGGTTCTTTGTATTTTTCTTTTTTTTAGAATATCCTGCAGTACTTTCTGTAGGGTTGAATTGGTGGTTGCAAATTCCCCCAGTTCCTCTTTATCCTGGAAGCACCTTGTTTTTCCATCAATTTCCAGTGACAGTTGTGCAGGATATCTCAATCTTGGCTGGAGATTATTATCTTTCAAAGCTTGAATTATTTCCCCCCACGCTCTTCGTGATTTGATGGTTTGTGCAGAGAAATCTGCTGTAATTCTGATGGGTGTTCTCTTGTAAGTAGTCTGTTTCTTGTCTCTGACAGCTTTTAATATTCTGTTCTTGTATTGAATTTCTGGAATTTTTATTATTATATGCCTGGGTGTTGCCCTGTTTGGGTTGTAAGTAGCTGGGGTCCTGTATGCCTCATACATCTGAGTATCTTTACCTTTTGCTAAATTAGGAAAATTCTCCTGGATTATTTCTGTGAGTAGCTTTTGTAGTTCACTTGTTTGTGTCCCTACTTCTTCTTTTATGTTCTTAATCCTTAAGTTATGGATCCTCTTATCATCTTCTTGTCTTTGTATTATTGCTGTTTGTTTCTTTGTTATTTTTAAGAAGTTTTTCATTTCATTCTCCCATATTACAAGTCTGCCCTCCAGTTCAGATAGTCTGTCCTTAGTTTCTTTCAAGCTGTTATGCCAGTCTTGGATAGACTGCTTAGTTTCTTGATAGTCCCTTTGAACCTGCTTCACGTACTCTATGCTTTCTCTGTTTTCTCCATCAAACAATTCTCCCCTCTTTTTCTGTTCTTCCATTCCACCATCTGTTTTTTCCTGGGTGGTGCTTAGCATTTCTCTAACTATTCTGCATACTTCTAGCTTCAGGTCGTTGATAACTTCATTCCTGAATTGGTCTATGAGGCTCTTTATGTCTATTGGTGCGGTGTCCGCTATTGCCTGTTTCTCAGAATTGGGGGCCGAGGAGCCTTTCTTGTTGCTGCCTTTTCCCATATTCTCTGTTCCTTATATATGCAAGCTTACATAGGAGGCCCAGCTTCCCTCCCTGTCAGCCACAGCCTGATCAAATTGCGCTGGCTAGGTGTTCCCACCCACTGCAGCGCACCAGGGAGTTACGGACTAGGCAGCCTACGCGGGAGTTGCCCCTCCGGGCCACCGTCAGGCTCTGGGATCTGGGTTGGGCCAGCCTACTGAGTCCGCCAGCAGCGTCATGCAGGCCAGGCACTTTTCACCAGTCCCGTCCGAGAGGGGAATGTGTGGCTGGAGTCGCCACCGTGCCCTGCTCCCGCAGGACTGCCCGAGCCCAGAAAGTCCTCCGCTGGAGTCAAACTGTGGTAGAGTGTCAGTTTCTCTCACTCACCTCACCACATGTCAGTGTACGCCTCCCTGCCCATCCTGTTTTCGACTCCGTTCGCAGACTCCCGTTCTCAGAGCTTCTGCGCGTCTCTCTCTTTGCCGAGCTGATGTAGAGGCAGCCAGCCTTGGTGCGGCGGGAAACCCAAATCGCGGCTTCCAATGGCGCGGGGTCTAGCCTCCACACCGAGGCTTTTCTGTTCCTGTTTTAGCACCAGGACTGCATTCCAAGTTGGTTTCTCTCAGCCCAGTTCGTTCCTGAGTCAGCAGAGCATATCTCTACCTGCTTATGTCTCCTTAGTCCACACCATTCCTGACTTCTGAACCAAGCCTTTCAGAGAGCCTCCGTAGTATCTGCTATCTGTCCGCCATGTTCTCCCGGAAGTCTATAGAGTTTTTTCTTTGCATCAATTATTGAGACTTTTTTTCTATGCATTAATGCAAGTATTCAGTAGATGTACTTGCCACCTAGTGTTAAATCAATTTTTTTTTTGGCACCTGGAATCAAACTCACAATCTCGAGCTTGCCAGATTCAAGTTTAGGAAATGCTGCTATGGGCAGAAGACACATTAAAAAATTATGAGATTGAAGAACTGGGCCAAGACAGTCAGGCTGGATGCTAGGAGACCCCATTGAAATCCATTGTAGCAGTTCAGATGTGGTGTTTAGAACCTGAATTGAACCAAGTGAGAGTTAGTATCAGGGCTAAGAGGAATTATTTTTTAAAAGTTTATTTAAAAGAGAAAAAAAAAAAAAACCCAAAATTTCAAAACAAGGTAATAGGGTGGTAACAATGGTTAATACATTGCATATTGTTATTATTAGTTACTCAGAGGACAAAGTATCTGCATTTAATTGCCCAAACAATATTAGCACAAACCTTTCTTTTCAGTGAACTTAAATAAGTAGTACAACTATCTTAGCTATCGTGTGTGTGTGTATGTTCTTTTTCTCTTTTTTTATAGTTTGCCCATATCCTGTATTGTATATTTGTTAATGCCATCATTTTAATTCGTATTAGGATATCATAATTTTTGTTTTGGCTTTGTTTTCTAAGGTAGAGTCTCACTATACAGTCCGAGCTTAATTCCTCTGTGTCAGCATTTGAGTCTCAGATCACAGACTTGTACCACTGTGTCTAGCAGTAATATTTCTTGTATATTTCAAAACTCGCACCAAATAATGAGTTTTGGGATGCAAATGAGGATTTAATTTCTGTACTTGTTCATGAAGTTTTTAGTCCACAAGTTAAGACAAACACACACAAGTGCCATTGTTCACTTCCTTCTTTCCTCTACTCCCTCATTCCAGTTTCCTTTTTCCTTTTGAAGTTTCTTCCCATTTTACAATATCTGTACATTTTGAATCTTATTTACTCTTTCAGCTTCTCAAATTAGATTAACAATATAATGTCACACATGTACATGTGGTTTATTTCACTTATTATGAGTATGGTCTCAAGTTGTATCCATTTGCCTATAAGTCTCTGGTTTATCCTCCTTTATGACTGAGTAGTGCTCCATTGTATAAAAATACCACATCTTTTTATCCATTCCTTAGTCAATGGGCAGTTGGCTACTTTTCAGGATCTGGCTGTTACAAATTGTGCTGCTATAAACATGGGTACACATATATTGCTGTAGTATGATGTTTTTAATTCTTCTGGGAAGATACTCAGAAGGGCAATAGCTGGGTCAAATGGAACCTTTAATCCTACTTTTTTGAGGAATTGCCACACTGATTTCCACAGTGATTGTGCTAGTCTACGCTTGCACCAACAGTGGAAAAGGGTTTCTTTCTCCCAGCATTTGTTGGTTGATTTCTTGATACTAGGTATTCTTTCTGGGGTGAAGTGGACGTTCAGTGTTGTTTTAATTTGCGTCTCTTGAATGACCAGTGCTGTTGAACATTTTTTCATATATTTATTTGCTGTTTGCATTTCTTCTGAGAAGTCTGTGTTCATCTCAGATGTACATTTTTGGATTGGATCTTTAAATCTGGGAGGACTGATTTTTTTTTTAAAAGAAAACAAAACAGAAAAAAGGGTAGAAATGATACAGAATTTTGAAAAATTAACCCTAAGAAATCACTAATTGATAAATTACATATTGTCATCTTAGAAATAAGGTTTAAGTCATAAAATTAAAGCATAGAAAGTGGACAATCAAACAATGAGAGTGCAAAACGTTCTGTACAAACTGCTCAGTCCGTGTCTAACAAAAAGGACCAATTTTTTTGAGTTCTTTATATGTTCTTGTTTGTAATCCTTTGTCTGAGTTGACACACATTTTCTCCCACATTGTGAGTTGCTTCTTCACTGTTTTAGTGGTTTCTCTTGCTATGCAAAAGCTTTTCAAGGGGGTGAGATCCCAGTTGTTGATTCTTTATGATAGTTCCTGTGCAATTGGGGCTTTAGTCATAAAATCTTTGCCCTAACCAGTGTTTTCAAGAATTCTACCCATTCTGTCTTCCAACAGATTTAATGTTTCTGTTTTAATATTTAGATTTTCAGCTGGGCATGGTGGTGCAGGCCTGTTATCCCAGCACTTGGGAGGCTAAGGCAGGAAGATCGCTTCAAGTTTGAGGCTATCCTGGGCTACAAAGTGAGCTCAAGGCCAGTCTGAATTGCATAATGAAACCCTGTCTCAAAAAGATAAAAAACAAACAAACAAATTTAGATCTGTGCTCACTATTGTTTTTTTGGTACTTGGGATTGAACCCAGCTTTCACCCTCAGCTCCACTTTTTTTGCTTTTTTATTTCTCACTAAGTAAATTGTCGAGACTGAGTTTGAAGTTTTGATCCTCCTGCCTAAGCTTCCAAGTGCACTGGAATCACAGGTTTCTTAAGTTACTTTCCTCTTTGCTGAGACAAAATGCCCAATACCCAAAGTTAAAGGAGGAAAGGTTTATTTAGCTCACAGTCTGGAGGTTGTGGTCCATAGTTGGCTGGTTTCAAACCTGGCTGGCATGTTAGAAGGGCATTGCGGCAAGCAGACGAGAGATAGTGAAACAGTGAGCAGCAGTGGCACCAAGCCTCTCTCTTTTGTCCTTTCCAGGCTATCAGCCTTTTAGGTGGTGCCACCCACACTCAGGATGGACCTTCCTATTATCCTTGCCCAGAACTATGCTAAACCCATCAGTGGACTAATTTAGTAATTACCCTTAATCCCAGCATCAAACTCTTAATCCTAGTGTCACACACGTTACACCCAGCCACCTCTTAAAAGCCCCACCTATGACCCCCGTGAGGCTTTGGGGGATACATCTAGATAGAAGCCATAACAACAGGCATGTACCATCATGCCCAGCATGTCTCACCACTTGTAAAGTTTATCTTTTTGTTGTTCACCTCTAGCAAGTAAATTCTACATCCATACTCCCTTGATGACTTATTTGTGTTAATTAAATTCACTGAAAATTGACTTGCACAGGAATCAAGCAGGCCTATAATTACCATCATACTTCCAGTTTTCAAATTTCTCTTTCCCTCTCCCTCACTGTCTCTCTGCCCCTCTGCCCCTCTGTCTCTCTCTCTCTCTCTCTGAATTCAACCCAGGGCTTCACATATGCTTAACATGCATTCTATCACTGAGCCTATGCTCGACTAATATTTTTATTTATAAAAAGGATTTAATACTCAATGTGGTGGCTCACGCCTGTAATTCCAGCACTTGGGAGGCTGAGGCAGGAGGATGGTTGCAAGTTTGAGGCCAGTTTGGGCTACAAAGTGAGTTCAAGGCCAGCCTGAGCTGCATAGTGAGATCCTGTCTCAAAAAGACAAAAAAACCAAAAAACAAACAAAAAAACCCACCACACTACACATGATGTTCGATGTGATAACTAAAATAACTAAAATAACTTGATCAGTCTTTTCAATTGATAAACACTGCATGTCTGAGAACCTGGAGACTCGCCTCTATTAAAATCCTTAAGAAAGTGCATTATTGGTAAGAATTTTGATTGAAAATACAGAATTAGAGCCAGCAAAATATCAGTGGCTAGAGGAGAGTAAGAATCGGTAGCAGGAGATACTTCTCTACCTCTGAAAGCCTGATGCAAAGTTGGGTCTTTACCATACAGGAGAACATGATTCCTCAGAGCCTGTGTTCCCAGAGTTGGGATTTTTTTGCCCCTGGGTAGTGTGTGTTCAGTGTCATTTGTGACTTCATTCCCAGTACCCACTTCTTGCTTTTTCCCTTGCCAGTTAGACCTTGTACTTGGGGTACTGGGAAGTATTCTGTCTCTTCATACAGAGTATGAAGAGATTATTTTGGATTTACTGCACTACCCCACTGTTACAGTCCAAGTGTTACATAAGAGGTGATGGGGAGTAAATAAGACTGGTGGGAGACAGTGGTAGCTCTATTACTGATTTGGGAGGAGCCTGGAGAAACAGGAGTTGTGATTAGTTCTGCTCAAGACATGTTGAATTTCATGTCTTTCCCACATGCTTAGCCAAAGTGGCAGTGGGGACGGAAGTCAAAAGTGAAGGAAAGAGTTTTTTCAGGTTTCTCTCCTTTGGTGTATGCCTTTCTTTCTGCCTGAAATGTTCTGCCCCTTTTGTTTTCTTGCTTAACTGTGCTGTCTTATCATTCAGTTCAAAGGTTTCTTTTTCTATCCAGTAGCAGTCCCATAAGATAGCCACTATTATTATCCTGTTTGGTTGGTTTCTTTGTTTTGTCACAGGTTCTCTTTATGTATTCCTATCTGGCCTTTAAATCACTGTATCCCTGGCTGGCCTGGAACTCACTGCAGTCCTTTTTCTCAGCCTCCTGAGTACTGAGATTATTGGCATCTGTCACCACACCCTGCTATTAACCTGTTTTTATGGATGAAGAAATTGAGACTCAGATGTTAAATAACTTGTTTATGGTCAGCTAGTAAAAGTGGTAAGACTGGATTTGAAGCCAGGCAGCATGGCTTGTGCTTCATGCTTGTAATATTTTCCTCTTGCTGTTTTCCAGGTACTCAGTATCTACTTATTGTATGAATAAAGGGATCATAATGGTCATCTTTGCACTTGGAATTTATGCACCCAGGCTTTCCCTTTCAGGAAGGTATTTCCAGTGAGATAAAAAATAACTCCCAAATGTTTCCTAATATGTTCTCTTTTCTCTGTTGTCATTGTCTTGGTTCAAGCCCTCTTCATCTCTTCTTAGGCTTATTATAATAGGCCTGCTATTGATATTATTGTGGGTCTCATTTCCTTGAAATCATTTGATACCTTGAATCTCCTTACTCCCTTGCAGAAGATTCTCCATTGGCTCCCAGTGTCTTTAGCAATTCTTGATCCAAACTAGAGAGTAAGCAATTCTGTCCCAACTTTGGTATATTCCCAAGAAGAACTCTGGTTTGGGCCAGCTTTCCATTCTGGAATAAGTAGCCATACTGGGATATGCGAACACTGTAATCTGTCCAACTTGTCATGTACTGTGTTCTTTGGCTAAGTTGGAAATGGGATCAGGTTTAGAACAAAGCCTCACAAGGACTTCAAGTCTGAAAGGGATTACTCTAAAAGATTAACTCTGGTTATCTAGCCAGAAGGGGAGAGTGGGTGGGCTCATTGGTGTGCCTAAGCACTTTTTGTGACTGTAAGCCTTACCTGACATTAGTGCAATAGATGCTTACTCTGCTTAGTGCTAGGACAGGGATCATGAGTGTTTTTGCCTTTGGGAGCTCCTGATGGGGTGGCAACATACAAACAGCATGATATCATGATCCCTCCATAGGAAGAAACAGACAGAGATACTAGTGTATCACTTAGATCTAAAACTAAATAATGGAATAGTGGAATTTATTTCAAAAATATAAAATGAGCATTTTATTTAATCACATCATTATTTTTCCTCAATTAAATTTAGATAAATTAGATCCTGGGTTGGCCACTTTCTAGTTGTGTCATTGGGGAACTGAGTCTCAATTGCCTGTGTCATACAATGGCATCTTAACAGGATTTTTGTAAGGATTCTTTGTGATGATATATTTTAAATAGTTGGTGTAGTACTTGAACACAGTGAGAGACAAAAAAATTATAATCAACCTCAATTTTTTTTTCTTTTCTCTTTTTGAGATAGGGTCTGGTTATATAGATCAGGCTGGCCATGAGCTCAATTTGTAGCCCAGGCTGGTCTTGAATTTGAGAGGATCCTCCTCCCTCAGCCTCCTGAGTGCTAGGTGTGTACCATCATGCCTGGTTTAACCAAAAATTTTAAATAGGCTATCCAGGATAAAATAGCTAGAAAAAAATGTGAAACTAATAATGTTTTATTTA